TGTGGGCTTCTTCGTTTTTTTCTGGACCACTGCCTGATTCGTGAGATACATTGCCGCGATTCGAAAGGTATTAATTATACATAAAGATGTATGCTTTAACAATTTTTAGCGTGTGTTTTCTTGTGGGGTTCTTCGTTTGTTCTGGATTTGTGCTTGAATATTGAGATACAAAATTGGGATCTGAAACGTAGTATACACAAAGATGTATGGTTTAACAATTTTTACTGTGTGTTTGTGTGTGGGGTTCTTCGTTTGTTCTGGATTTGTTGGGATTTGAAAGGTAGTATACATAAAGATGCATGCTTTAACTGTTCTTATAGTGTACGCTTGTGGGTTTCGTAATTTGTTCTTGATTAGTGCTGGATTAATGTGATACAATGTTGGGATTTGAAAGGTAATGTACATAAATATATATGCTTTGTCAATTTTCACTGTGCAATGTGTGTTGGACATTCTTCGTTTTGTTCTGGATTTGTGCTGAATAACGTTGGGATTTGATAGATATTCATAGGAGCAAGTTCACTAGATTATAACCTGATCATCGGCTTTGGGAAAATATTTTGAAAAAAACGTAAATGTTTGTGTTAGCTCGTGATGCTATCATGTAACTCCAAAGTCCTAAATATTGCTCGTATGTTCAACCAAGGTTTCTATCCAAAAACTGTCCGTTGATTCGTGCTTATGGTGCAATGCGCTTTGATGCGAGATCTAAGATATCCCCTGAGTGGAATGGTTTTGGTTCCTTCTACTTTATGGTCCCTCAGGCGAGTAATGTTTTTTTTTTCTTTTTGCTATGGGCGTCAAAGTTATCGCTGAATAAAATGAAATAATTGTTAAAAACATATTTGGCAGATCGAGTTTGACGAGTTTGAAGGAAGTTCAATGATAGCTGCAACTGTGGCGTGGGATAATCGTCTTTCACTTCCCTACGAACAAGCAGTTGCAACACTCGAAGCTACACTGTCCGAGGTCTGGATTTTATTCTGTTTGTTTTAATCCATAATCTCAGTGGCTTGAAATCTAAGAATATTTTTGTCGTAAGTTACAGGTTTCAACAGTCGTTTGGAAAATAAATGATAGCTCTCATCGTGCTCCTGTCCTTCACCAGACTCATGTTCCCAACAAAGCCTCGTGGGATCAAGCTGTTAAACGAGCTCTTGACTTGATAAGCAGTAAAAACTCCTCGCTTGTTAAGGTTCTTTTTTTTTCTTTATTCTCCTTTGTTTTGTCATTTTTTTCCTTTTCTTTTCTTTCGAGTTTTTGCTAGTTACAATTGGATTTCTTTCTGAACATTAGGTTGTGCTTGCGCGTAGCAGCAGAATTCTGACCACGGTTGAGATTGATCCTTTAGAATGGTTATCGAGCTTGAAGGTTCCTTTACTTTTACAAGAGTTAAAATTTGTTTTAACCACTGATCACTGATGTAACAATGAGGTGATTTTATAACACACAATTCTTGATTATTGTAGGTTGAAGGGGCTAACTCGTACCAATTTGTTCTTCAGCCACCTGAATCCCCTGCATTCATTGGGAACACAGTAAGGAAACTTTGAACACTCGAAATTATTTTAGTATAAATCACTCAAAATTGAAAATGATTTAATATAAAACGTTTTTGAGTTAAAGTTGAGTTGAGAAAAACGATTGGTTAAAAATGATTGGATTTTTTTTTTTTCGAAAAACTTGTATCTAAGCATGCAGTAATTGTTTGTTGTCACTCAAAACATTAATTCTTTAAGAATGAATGAGTATAATGTCATACAATGACTTGTTCTCTCAATGATATCTTCTAATATTTCTTTTCTCCTTTTTTTATTTTGGTTTATTTAATGTAGCCTGAGAGACTGTTTTACCGAGACCGTCTAAGCGTATACAGTGAGGCCTTGGCCGGAACTCGAGCTAGAGGAGGAACAGAATCACTAGATTTACAAATAGGACATGATCTACTCACCAGGTTATATCTCTTTTCTGTCCGAATATCTACTTTGACCTTTTCAAACATCTTAAACTCAGTCTCAACTGTATCAATTTATCTCTCTCAATTCATTGGCAGCCCTAAAGATCACCATGAATTCGCTGTCGTAAGAGAGAGTATAAGAAGAAAATTCGAGGCAAGTGAATCTAATGCCCTTCTGCAAGAAAAAATCACATCTCTTTTTTTGGTAGGGGATTAAAATCATTGTTCTCGTTTTTTTGGGTTTTCGCGTTTTAGAACGTGTGCACAAGCACTGTAGTTGAACCGAGCAAAGCTCTAAGGAAACTGCCACGTGTCCAACATCTTTATGCTAAGCTAACGGGCACATTGCAGAAAGAAGATGACGAGGTGCCATGACCTTTATTCAATTGCTAATCAATAATTCATTATAGTTTGGCTATAAATCTTCACCTTTTTTTTTTTTTCAGTTTAAGATTCTGTCTTCACTTCATCCAACCCCTGCTGTTTGTGGGCTTCCAACTGAAGATGCACGAATTCTAATATCACAAACTGGTAAAAAGAAATAAAAAAATGCACTCTCACTGTACATTTCAGTATTTTCCAGCCATTTTCTTGGTCTTTCCTTTTTTTTTTTATTATTTACTTTTGGGAAATTAATCGGTTTCTATTATTCAGAAATGTTTGACCGAGGAATGTATGCTGGCCCGGTTGGATGGTTTGGTGGTGCTGAGAGTGAATTTGCCGTCGGAATAAGATCAGCATTAGTAGGAAAGGTGCGGAAAGATACATATATTTATTTTTTCATTCTAAATATCACAAATAAATAAGAATAGAATATGTGATTTCCAGCTGAGATTAATGCACGCTGTGTTCTGTCGAATGTTCGAACCAATCTTATGTAAACGTACCCTAAAGAAATATACCGATTTTTATATCAAAAGGATATCGGGGCATTACTTTATGCTGGGACCGGAATAGTAGAAGGAAGCAACTCTTCTCTCGAGTGGAAGGAACTCGAGCTCAAGACATCTCAGGTTTTGCTTTATCTTCGATGAGAAAAAAAAAATTGCCGAGATTAATTTTATTAGACATATTCTTATTTCTCTTCGTTTTGTGTAGTTTACGAAACTGATGAAACTCGAGGGAGAGAGTTGAAATGTAGCTCGACTAAGGTCAGTGTAGCTTATAATGAGAATTGAGAGCACGCCGTTATTTTAACTTTGGAATATTAATCTTCCAAGTTCCCAAAAGTTTTGCACTTCTCGCGACATTGCGAAAAGCAGTGCAAAAAATGTAGTTATATGAAGAACCAGAGGCCTATTCTTTTTTATTTTTTCTTTTCTGTAAATAGTTGTATACAGCATTTACATTATCTTTTATTCAGATTCTCATTTGTCATATATAATATTTACAAATGCAATTTAAACTATACCTTACGAGTTATGAATGAAGTTCAAAATCTTCTAACTCGGCTGCTAACGTGCGTTTCTCTTTTAGTGTGAAACCTTAAGGGCATGAAAATCGCGCATTAGCTTACCAGCGAAAAGAGTTTACTGTTATTCGGTCCGTTTTCAGATCTTTCTGCAATATATTTTCAGGATGTAATAAAACTCCATGCGCGGCTTCGTCATAATTAGAAGGAAGAAATAATACTCATGATGTACACAGACAGACACAAACACAAACACATCAAGTCCTTTTTTTTTTTTTGCCCCAAATAAATAGAACGATGTAAATATGCAGAAGAAGTATATAGGATTCTCTGTGTAATTTATGTTATGTTCCAAATAAATCTGGTTTGGTGGAGTTTTTCTTGTTCAATAGTATATGGTTTAGTTGCTTACATTGTTGCCAGAATAAAGATACACGTCTGGAAAGAAAAGTATAAATTTGTTTAGAGGTCCTATTCGATCCGAGCCGAGTACCTTTATATTTGTTAATAAACGAGATTAATTATTTGTTATTCTCCTATGGGGAGTTTGTGTTATTCTCCTGTGGGGAGTTTGTGTATTTCTATGGGGAGCTTTTATTTTTCTTATTCGTTTGTAGTGTGCGTTGGTATCTAGGCTGCCTTGGATAGTCTTTCTATTCCGGTTAGTGAGTCGGTTGTAATTACGTGTTTATTGAATGAATTCTGTCGTTTCGAAAAAAAAAAAAAAAACGAGATTAATTATTTGTTCGAGTGCAGCTTATTGTTTAAGTAAACAAAAGAGTCGAGTTTGAACTTTTACGGGTCAAATCAACTTGGGGTAAATCTGGAGTAACTATGTTATGGTTCAATTTGGTCCGACTAAAATACATAAGTAAAGAAAATTTTGTGAAGTTAAATCTTTTAGTAGTAGAAGTCAAGCAACGTGGGGTTGGCGATGCTTGAAATTTTCAGGACTACGACAATTTTTCATTATGGTTTTCAATTTTCACTACCCGTACTACATGGGTGTTCAGTTGAAAAATATATTACAAAAATTATTGCTAATATATATATGTTAATTTAAAAAATTTGATGTATTAATTAATGAAAAAGAGAGAAATAGACAGTGCAGAAAGTGATTTATAAATTGTAATTTAGGAAATAAATATGGGAGAAAATTATAAAATAGTAATAAGATTGTTACTTGCTCAAATTAAGAAGGAAATTTGTACTAAAAAAATAAATTAACAAAATTAAAATTTGCTATATGAACAAATAAGTTTAATTACTAATGTGCTGTATGAATTTTAAAATTTTCACACATCCTACATGAATCAACATTGAAAAATTGTTGAGATATATTAAGAACTAATTTTTGAAATAGCTGAAGAAAAGAAAAAAAAAAAAAACATATTTGAAATCGCTGGAAATAAGAATACATCAAATGACGTGTAAAATTTGTATTATCATAATTTAAAAGTTCCATCTTTTGTAAGTAGAGGTTAGTTGAGGAAAAATTATAAATTTAAATTTGCCGCGTCGCGACGCGCAGTCACGAGCTAAACAGTTTGATTTGTAATCCTTTCTACAAATTCTTTGAAAGAATTCGAAAGTAGAATATTTATATTTCAAGAAATTCGAAATCAAAGAATTTCAGATCCTTCAA